TCTTTCTTATATACTTTTGAACTATAGGACTATAGGAATGAAATATTTATTGCATAAATGTTAAATTATTTGAAATCTTAACGAACATTGTACGTAGTTGAAACATAATATCGAAGTTTTGCAATAAAGTCTTGAGAGACTTGCGCGTATCGTAATAACATCGTCAAGGATCAGATGAAAGCTTTAAGCGAAAGTTGTCGCGGACGGCTTTGTAATGTTAACAAAAATACCACTCACCCAGTTACTAAATATACCATTAAATCTTTTACCTACACAGACTGATGGAGATTGATTTCATGCAATTAAGTGAATAAATAAGTAAATAAGAAACTTATTTTCGGTCGTAATCGAATATTTTATACCCATCAAATTTTCATGCTCTTATAACATGGAATGGGAGCGAATGACTTTTTCAAATTTTCAAAAAGTTTTTCTTGTCATTTCGACCTGTGGGCGTTGCAGGTGTATCTTTGGGAAAGTTTAAGTCACTTTGAGATTTATTTGCAAATTTGTTTGCTCGTTTTTGCTAATGGGAGAATCTTTACCACAATTGCGCAGACAACTGACTTTGAAACTGACCAAGATTTTATATATAGTTTATGGGAGTTTCGCGTTGTTGTTTCTGCGTATTAAAAAAGGTATTGAAAAAAAAATATATATTTATATATAATATATAAAAAAAAATATATATATAATATAATATAATTTAGTCAATTTTTTTCATTATTTGCTGAAGTTTATGGGTAATGAGCGAAAGACCAATTTTTTATTCCTTTCGAACAATGGTAGTATTCTCAGTTTACGTGGTACTAAAGACGTATCCTCCTAACGAATGGACCCATTCTCAGTGCCAACCTACGTGCAATAACTTCTAATATTCGTGTGAAATTTGAAGTCGTTAGCTTCATTTTCGCAGTCAAGATTATTCAAAGGGACACACGGACATGCTTAAATCGATTTAGAATTTGACGCTAATCAAGAATATATTTGCTTTGCAACATCTTTGCTGCTTCCTTCCGAACTTTGCAAACGTTTTCATAATCTCCCCCATTTACACCCTCATTCTGCAGTGATGGATGTAAAAATCAATAAACATTAGGTTTCCCCAGGAAAGAATTATATCGACTTAACTTCGTGTTTAATAAGAAATTTTAGCTCTTAAATAAGAAAAAGAATAAATTATTATTTATAATCAATATTTATATTAAACATACATGCGAACTTTAGTATAATACATGTATATAGGGAGAATTACAACTTTTGTAACTCTTTTAGAATAAAGAATTATTTATTAATGACTTTAGAGCGAAACAATTGTCTTCTATGCATTGTATTACTTTTCACCGCCAACGGCATTTAATAAAATTGAAAATTTTGTTTTATTGGAATAATTGCAGTTGAGAGCATTCAAGAAAATGGCATATAATTGTGTCGTAACTACATATGAGTACTTGTGTTCATTTCAAAGTACAAATGTAAGCCCTAAGCATCTTTTGTGTAAAATTATTATTTCAAGTGTGTACGTTTTATATGTGTGTATGAACACGATTACATCTAAACTCAAATGCACATACATACATGTGCACCTTAAAAATAACCAAGAATGAGAACGACACTTGAGAGCGTTAAGATTAAAACAGCTGGAAACCAAAAATAACAAAAGCCTAAAGCAAAACCAGCATTCATTCATATAAGTAAATGGGAAATGTGCAACCATTATATATATATATATATATATATATATATATAATATATATATATATGTGTGTGTACATATATCCTTGATGATAATTTGGCCTAACGCCAAACGCAGCAAAAGTTACATTCCTTCCTAGTGCTAGTGCAATTTTGTTGTTAAACGCACAAAAAAGGTTATATGTAAGTCGCGAAAAGCCACTCGCTTTCTTATTGGAACTGAAATCACCTTGAAATGAAAAACAAGCACAACTTTGGTTAAGAAACTTGCCAAAAATACGAAATATTGGTTAAAACTTTCCAAATTATATATATGTATATATATATATGTTATCTATATTGTATGTATAGCTATATATACATTATACCTAATATATTATACATATATAGAAAACTTCAAATTTGCTTTCCTCATGCATGAAAATCTGCAAAAGTCTTACTAAAAAGTATGTGGACGTATACGTGAGCTACGAACACACAATAAAAAAAAAAAAAAAAAAAACCTAATTTTAAGCAAATTTCTCGATACCCATCACAGGGTGCTATTGAAATGGAAAACTTAAAATTTTGTACCATATTCCATTTCTTAACGCAGAACAAGTATGAAAATTGTATCCTCGTTGTGTCCGAATCTGTTGTGCTCACATCAGCTCTTTCTACAAGAAGGAAAGAAGAACACACAAACAGCAAGTAAAATATTTATATTCGGTCGTGACCGAATCTTTTGTACCCATCACCGTGAGCCTAAAAACGAGAAGAAGAACTAAATTGTCATACTCCATAATAATAATAATAATAATAATAATAATAATAATAAGAAAGCGGTACTGATTTTTTCTATTTTTAATTGTGTATGTATTGTAATTTATGGGTAATAAGCAAAACAAAAACGTTCACAGTTTTTGTTATATGTACATATGGGCGTTATAAGTGTGTCTTTTGATCGGTTTGGATGATTGTCAAATTCTTTTACAAATTTGTGGCTGATATTTTCGCTTTTGCGTTCGGGAGAATGTTTTCAACATGTTTTCGGACATGCTTAAGTGTATTCCGAAGTTGAAATTGGCCAACAGTTTATAAACTTTATGGAATTTTTAAAGTTTGCTTCTGCCTGTTATAAGGGTATGGAAGAAATAATTAAATATTGATACACTATCACGCTAGATGGACATAGTCAAGTTTGCTCATCTTTGTACAGGTACAGTATCCCCCATAGGATATATGTTCAAATTTTTGTGCATTTATCTACTGCTACAGTTTACAAGGAATGAGCAAAAAAAACAAATTTTTTATTTTTTTTATTTTTTTTTTGTTTTTTAAATAAAAGTGTTCTCAGTTTACAGCGGTACGGCAGGCGTGCTCTTCGACCGATTTGGCCCATTTCCAATTACCGACCTTTGTGCAAGAACTTGCATTGTTTTTACCAAATTTGAAGTCGACCGCATAGTTTGTACGGCCATAAGAATATTTAGAGCAGACATTACACAAACGGATCTATACACTTTATGGAATCTCTGAAGATTCTTTTTGCGTGTTGCAAACGTTTTGACAAAACGAATATACCCCTTATCTGTCGGTGATGGGTATAAAAAACGTCTACGTTCACACTTCATCGAAAATTACTTAATATGCTTAATTGCGCTCTATTTCCATCAAAGAAAATGTAAACAACACGTAAAGTTATTCGCTTAAGTGATGATGGCTGTAAAAGGAAACACCAATCTAAATTTTGCAGAAAAACAATTTTTTTGGTTTAAGTCCTATGCAATATTTAAAATGAACAAAACGCTAACTGAAAGAAATTTCTCTTTAAAATTTTCATCTGTTCCCTGTACAGGCCTAAAAAAAAACGACCTGACTTAAATGAATGAATTCCTGCCAGCTAGTTGCAGTTTAACGTCGTGCCTACTGATTTTCTAGTATCTCTGTTATAATAATAGATGGATGATGTCTTTAAAAAGTACTTACATTCAATTAAAATCATTTCCAAATATAAGTTAGTGTTGACTTTATCAAGACGAGCATCGAATGGATATAGGGTGAGAGAGAGAGAGAGAAGCGAAAGCGAGTCAGTGCTTCTGCAGAGAAAGTTAAAATGTGCGATTTTGATATTAATCACGGATTCGGCCACACACTTGTAAATTATTCTAATCACTTACTCTATCTTTTCGGAATAGGTGAAGTGTAAAATGTGTGATTCTTTTTTGGCAGGTGTAGTGAAGGCAAAAATTTTTGGTCTAGCAAAGAGTCCTCGAGAAAGGCATTTGTCGACGACACATATTTAAACTTTGAAGGGAATTGGTTCTGGTTAAGGCATATTAGGCATATTAATGATAAAAATTAAAAAAAAAAAAATAAAAACTTTTTATAATGAAAGAACATATCTTTAATAGATTTCAAAACTTTAAATGCGTGTTTGTCGAAACATGATTTACCAAAACGGACGGACAATCGAATGTTTCTCAACATCATACAAATATCGATATATTGAAAATCACCTACATACTCCTCTGGCTACAGATATACGCATTTTGTACCCGCTATTTTACGGGCCGCAAAAGTCCATTACATTGAAAATGCCCCGCGAGAACGGCCTCAGTATAGTCAATTTCTTAAGTTTTTGCAAAAATATTTTATTATTTTTTCCAACACTTAAATATATGTTTAATTATGGTCTTGGAAAATGTTACTTTACTGCTTTTCTTGCTATCCCCAAAACAATTGCCGAAAATAAGTTTCCTCTTAGGCTGATATAGTGAGGTGCCCTCTTAATACGTTATCTTGATTCTAAATTCTGTGTTTACATTTGTTGTCAATTGTCTACGATGTATGGTCATGGAGGAAAAAACATAAAAATTGCCGCTTAACACAATTTGTTATTCGCCTTCACAGCCTGCACATGGCTTTTTCTGCATATGCTGAAGGGCAACGAAAAGTGTTCAAGTTATTTAATTAATAATCAAACACCAAGAGTCCTATTGCAGTTCTCTCAGATTGTTAAAAGGGATCGGGTTGTTAATGCGTTTCACAACGAATATAAACGAATATAAAAATATAAAGTCAAATATTATTTAAAATACTGAAAATCAGCGAAATATATTTTATTTATATATATATATATATATATTTTTATATAAATTAAATTTTTTATAATTTAAATTATATATTATTATATAAATTAAATGTTATCATTTATGCAATTTTGAACAGGGACACAATTTGACCATAGTGTATATATATATATATATATATATATATATATATATATATATGTGTGTGTGTGTGTGTTTTTTTTTTTATAGGTTTATGTATGTATGTAGGTATGTATGTACGTGCACATTTAAGGCAAATGTCTACCGCCATGCTATTTTGGTCGGGGAATCTGAACGCCTCCGCGCTGATGATATTGCATGCGAATATTTAACATTTGATATATTGCCAGTGATTGAATTATTGCGACATGAACGCGATTGCGTAACCGACGACATTGGCTTACCAGTTGCTGCTTGATTTCTTCTATTATTGGCAGGTGTACTGCTTTCGTGGCTTCGCGTTCTATTAGGAATGACGTGTCCATTATAAGAATCGTATGGCTGTTGACTTGAGGTTGTAACTCCATACTTTCGTTGAGGATTGCGCGGAGTCTGACTTGAGGTTACGACTCCACTACTATGCGTTTTTTTGGGTAGCCTGGATGTGTTTGTTGTAACAGTAAATCGATTTTTACACGTTGTCGTCGATGATGGACTTATATACTTGCTGCAAGGATGCAGTTCGATGCGTTGATTATTGCCTGGTACAGTAACCGAAGTCTGCGACGGACGGCGTCTAATGCTTTCAGCAGTAGGAACCGAACGAATGCCTGTATTTCCACAAACCGCTACTCGATTGATTCTGGGATTATCGGCTGCTGCCCGATAATTTCCCACAGGTAGGTCATCGTGTTGACTGGCGGTAAATATTGTTTTCCTCTTAGTGACCGTTGGTTTCTTTCCACTGTCATTGATATAAGCGGATGTAATGGGGTTGGCTACGCCAACTGGTATTACACGACCTAGTCGGTTTGGTGTTATAGAATTCTTGAATTCCACATGTAATGTGTCTTTAAACATCTCGGGGATCGATTTTTTCGCTTGCGAACTATGTGGACGTTGCACTTTAAATGTGTTGTACCGTTTCACCGAAGATTGACTAGCGAGTATAGTACGGCCATCAGCATCTTGTACTGGGGCATGTGCTTCCGGCTTGTAGTTATCATTGTCAAATACTATCAAATCATGTCGCTTTTTTTTGAATTGGGAATCCTTCGGCATTTCAGTGGTCTTTTCTGCGGGTTCCACTTCAACGAACCACGACGGATTATATGGGGCACGTTTATCCTGTTGCAGAAATCTCTCACGAAATGATTTACGAAAATTATTTACCGTGACAGTTTTGTACTTATTGGTTCGATCAGTTCCTTTTTTAAGCACATCTTCCGGAAAATTATCAATCTTTCCGACAAAAGTTGACATCTTTTTTAACTGCTCAAATTGTTGCCTTAGTGCATTTGACATTGTATTTTTTTGATATGTAGAAGAATCGATATGACATGTAGCTGAGCTTACCGTCCCTTTAACGGATCCATTCCCGTACGCCAATGATATTTCACTAGATTTCTCTTCAAAGGGAAGCTCGTATGAAGCAGCTGTTATTTCTTGTTCTAAACCATCGGTCGACCATTTCTCGTAAGTATTATCAACATTATCAGTTGGAGCATCTTCACTGGTATGTGTATCAGGCGCAGAGGCGGGAGGAGCCTTTTTGCGCTTTGTAAACGTATTAAATTTAACCGGTAATTTTGATTTTTTTAATTTTTTCATTTCCATTGCTGAAATATTTGAAGGCGAACGCCCTTCACCTTCTTCGCCCAATATAAAGGTTTCACTCCGATTGGGCACGACATCAATTTGTGAAATAGGCGAACCTTTGCTTTCGTTTATCATTTGCTTATTGCCCACTTTGGTGCCGGACGTCGAAATGCGATCGTGCGGCAAATCCCGCCCCCGCGGAAGGGATGAACGCCAATTGCGAAAGAATGCCATTTGTGTTTTTCTCCTCTTTTTTCCAGTTTTTTTATTATAAATATTTAACAAATTTCAAATCATAATTTTACTGAAAAAAATTTTTAAATGAATGAAATAATGCCGCCCACGCAAACGAACAATTCTAGGCAATCTCTGTTTTTTAAAAGTCTTTACGTTTCAACTGTTTACAATTAACTGAGGAGATAAAATTCATCGCGCTTAGTACTCTAGCTTACTTGAATAGCGATCGTGTTTAACTAGATGTTCATATTGTGGTTGTGTGCTTCTCTAAGAGAATATGTGGTAACCGTAGCGTATTAAACACGGATAAGCTATGAAGAGTGCAATAAAACTTAGCTTATATGCTGATCAATAAATTCCGGAATTGACATACGTACACATATATTTCATAATATTTTTAAAAAGATCCAACTCTTACGCGGCACTTAAAAAATGTTGTGTCAATTCGATCATTCTGCTTACGCGCTATAGCGTATAGCGTTAGTTTTATGGTCTTGTTAACAAGGGAAAAATCCAAGATTAAAACACACTTTCATGAATTGAGGCTTGGATTGCCATTTCACCCACACCACACCGTATTCTCCAGATCTGCTCTTGAAAATTTCAGGAAAAAAATTGAAATCGAATGATGTGCGTACTCGGGACTATGAAGTTTATTTTATTCATTTATTTATATATAAATATCGTTTTTATTTCATTCCAGGTATTATTGACCGGTGTATTATATCTGCATTGGCGTGTGTGGTATGTACGATTTTGAAATAGATAAATTGAAATCGGATGTCAATGCTAACATTTTGGTTTGACCATACATCAATAATTGGCTGATAACTGGCGTACATAGTTTTGTCAATAAGTTGTTAAATGTTTGCTACATAGTACTTGTTAAGATGGCTGATTTAAAAAAAAAAAAAAAACATCATTAACGGACAGACTAAAAAAAAAAATTACATAGATTTTGAGCCGAAGTTCAAGTACCTGTCGGACACTGAGATGTCATTTAATTTAGTTCATATATTAAGTCGGCTGATTATAAGTTTGGTTCAGTCTCTGTGAGCATAAAATTCTCCTTGAACATCTTTGAAGATAATACAAAATAGTTTCTCCAAATTTTCTTTTCAATATTCACAGAACCTATTTAAACACAATTTGAGCGAAATCCAAAACCGTTGCCACTGCTAACATAGTTGTCTTAAATACTGACCACAATTTTTCGTTAAATCACCCCCAAATCTTTCTGAATAAATGAGGATAGTCAGGTGGACATATAGTAGCTATAAACCTTATTTCTGTAAGCCCATATAACAACGAATTCATAGCGTAACACACGCTTGCCGCCGTAACAATGGTAGTTAAATTATTAGTAAGCTTACGCTAGCCATCAGACTACTTCACTTCAATACCCTTGATTCATCAAAAATATCGTGAAAACCAGTTAATTTTGAAAAAAGAAATAAAAAAAAAACTAAGAAAATTATATTTGGCTCTGGTCGAATATTTTATTCTCATCACTTTTACTAAAAAAAAAAAAAAAAAAAAAAAAAAAAAAACAATATAAATAAAGAAATTTCAATACTTTGCAATGTTTGGTGATCGTGGTCGATTTTTCTTCATTTTTGTATAGTCGTCCCATTTGCCACAGAATACAGCAAAAGTGGAGATGTACTGCAGACTTGCCCTTCGAACGATTTCGCCAATTTTCTATATCGAGGTGCGTGCATAAATTTCCATTATTCATTTCAATTTTGAAACCATTATCTTCATTCCATGCTTGGACACACGGGCAGACAGACATGCCTACGTCGATTAGAAATTGGACACTGATCAAGCATGTATACACTTTGTGGGGCGAAAGAAGCTTTATTCATTCATTCATTGTGTTGCAAGTATTTTAACATAAGGAATGCGCAGCCATCCTTCCGTGGTAGGCATATATAATAAGCCCATGGGAACAAGTTATAAACACTATTCTTAATACCTGTCACAGTACGCTTAACAATATTTAACTTGACGATAAAGCGAAGGCGTTTTCGTTCGATTCAAACAATTTGACACTGGCTGGTATGATGATGATAATGACTTGGGAAAGTAGTCGTGGATTTAAAGGGAAAAGAAGGCAGACAGAGTGGCTGTTATTCACACTAATCATATATATGTATACGTAATAAACAATATATTTTTCGATATTTTTATAGCGTTACCTTTTTAGATAACTTAACACTTCAACAAGTACATGTAATTTCAACATTATTAAAAATACTCTACGAGTAACAAAACTTATTTTATCACAAGCGCAGCTGTAATTTTTGGCCATTGCTTTGCGTTCAATTAAATCTTGAAGGAATTGAAACGACCATGTATAAAGTGATTCAGTATTTCGCGTTTATCCATTCGCTCAAATTTGTTTTTCGATATTGCCAATGAAACGATAAAATTAATAAATCGATATATCCGGTGAAGTGTATAAAAAGTTGAATACAAAAAGAAAGTGGGCGATATCTCACTTGTTTACCTAAGTTGCTATATAGAATATATATATATATATATATATATGTGTATATATATAATAAGACTATTTTGAAAGTTGTTTTCCTTTTCCATTATCTAATGAAATAGTGTTTCGTTGTATCTTAAAATTGTAAAAGAAAAAAAAAAAAAAAAAAGAAGGTTATATTCGACTTATATCGAATCTGTTGCCAGTCTCTAATGATAAACATGTTCTTTTCAATTGAATGAAGAAATTGAGGTTAGGCTTACTCTCCTAGACAAAATTCTGAGGTCATAATTGCAATTTCGGCACAAGGACAAGGCAGCGGACATCGATTTCATTATTAGTCACGTTAACTCGAAATATGCATACTTTTCTAAGGTGTCCAAAGCGTATTTCAATTCATATTAAAACATTTGTATATAGAGAAACAGAGATATATTTATTATACCCTCTATGGACGGAAGAGGTGAAAATAAGAGTGTTAAACTGTACAGCTTAGCTACATACATTTTATGCATACCAGTAATGCACTTCGCGATTTAATTGTTTTTGATGGTTTAACCAGCGACAGCTAAATGGACAAGATGGTTCAACGTTTTGCTCAAAATTGAAACTTAAGAGATTATTAGGGACATCTCTTGCTATATTAATTGGCAGCAATTTGGCTGCTTGCTCTTTCATATTCTCATTTTACTAATTTCTCGATGACGATGATGATGTATTCTCTAAAATGATTGCAAAGCAAAATTCGATATTTTGAAGTGAATATGCGCTATAACATGCATCATAAATGTACGCAAAAAAAAAAAAAAAAAAAAAACAAACAAGTCAATGAAAATGTGCAATGAAAAATTATGAAGAAATTCTAGGATATTCTAGACTATTATAGAATATTTTAGAGCATTTTAGAATATAAACTACGGTACAATCAGCTCATATGTGATTTTCACTGCATAAAATTTAGAACATTTCAATATGAAATAACGGGTGAAATGAACACAAATTATATTTGCATTATACGCACCACAGTTTAATTATTCTCGTACATACACACATATTTAGCGCATATTTATTTAAAAGCACATAATTGCATATGTTTCTGCTTTGCAAACGAATGTTTGAATGCGACGTCATATTAAAACGCTATTAAAAGAATTTTCGTCCATGCAACTGATGGAAGAATGAAAGAACAGGCAATCAAATGTCTGATAATTAATTAGCCGCCTTACTACTAAAAAGTTTGAATTTTAAACAAAATGTTGGACTATCTTGTCGTCTAGTTGTGCCTGTAAAACTGCACACACCTACAAGGTTCTTCTCACTTCTTAATTACTCATAAACAATGAGAAACTACAACGACTTTATATGCGGGCTCTAAGAATATGTTTATCGTTCCATCTAGTTTCACTTACGGCATAAGCAAAAATAACAACTATGCGTAAACGAATGCAACAAGAAAAAAGCCTTGAGGGGAAACTTGGCTATCCACCGCCTCAAATAGCTTTTAGTTAATTGTGGTTTCACACACAAACCACTCAAAATTCTTTTCAATCTTTAATTGCGGATTAATAATTGCTGACCTTTTCAGGTGATTTCAGATTTGTCGTTTACTTTTAAACGAATGATATTCTTTGGTACGCATAGGCTGGAAAATTTCGCCACTTTTTCCATTTCGGAAACAGTGTCAACTTGAACAACAGATAATATTCGAAGCTATGGATAATTATGGCATGATGACCTTACTCACGACTGTTCATATTCATGTACACGTATTCCTCATGGATTGTGTAATGAATATTTCTAGGGGGATTGCACAAGACAATAGCATATATAAAAAAATTTGGGATCTAGGCTCCATAGCAAAACGTCTGCAAGCAAATATTTATTTTATTTTTTATAAGGTCGAACAGTTCATGTTGGTCGATTTGAAAACTGAGCTATATTAGTTAAGGGTTTTTAACACCATATCTAAATTATTACGATACGACTGCTACGCCTGTAAATGAGTTACCGCAAAGTACTAATCGCTGCTAACAAATGATCATGTCTAAGATGTATTTTTTGGGCAAATTGAAAAAAGGGTGTAACATATCATGTTTGGCTTCACTTTGTACTTATTGAAATGGATGGATCTTAAAGGAAACTGTGATTAAACTGATGCTTAGTGTTGGCGACAGTGATTTTAAACTTCAAACCCCTAAAATTGATGGCGCCCTAGATGCGCTATTTGAAGAATATCCGAAAATGCAGGGTAGAAACAAAATGAGTTCGGATTCAACCGGTTGCAGATGCTATAAATGCAAAAAAATTGGACACTTTGTCCGTGAATGGAAATTTTGCCAAAAATAGTCGCGCTTAACTTTATCCACCAACTGTAAGGCGGATATCAAGCCTAAGATTTCCTGTGATGCCCAACGCAAACACCAAGTTAAAAAAATAAATCAAGAAAATTGGCGGATAGCTGTAGCAGGCAGACACATGTAGAGAAGTCCAGACGGTAATGGCTCCAGAATGTAGAGAAGATCGTGAAGGACGCACGG